TTTAGTAATGTTACAAAATTTTGTTTGTTCTATTCCAGAGATCCTTAAAAAACAGTCGCATTAAAACCTGCTTTTCTGTTTACTGCTCTCCTTTGAACATCAGAGCATCTCTGAAACCTCCATAGTCTTTCTAGTACCCCCTTCGACGAGGAATCGTTACAAGCGTAGAGGAAAAAGTGAATATCAAAAACTCACCATTTGAATAGCAGCAGGCACTGTACCCGCGTTTACCGGGTGTTATGAAGTTACTGCATTACAAATATGAGCATCAATTCATAACGTTGTATATTTGAGAATTTTTGACATTCTTAAAGGAATCTGGACCTAGATTGACAGCTTTCTCGCAATGTACCAGAATGGTATAATATCTTATATGATTTATCCTTGGTTAAAGCACTGAGAGCACAATTTTGGTCAGATGGCCCGGCCAGAAAGTACAACTTTCGATGACGAAGCGTTACGCTGCGAGTGTATAAATTCCACAAAACCCCAATTTAGAAATCGGGAAATTTAGTTTGCGTGCTAATTAGAACAAATCAACAAGAAATCTGGTTTACATGGCGGTTAGATTCTACTATGTGGGGAGGGGAGGAGGGGACAGAGAAGCCACTATGTTGGAAGCTGCTTGACTTTCACTTTTCCAATGGTTTTTTTATGTTTTGATGGATTAAGTTGCCTTCGCAGCTGTGTTAAGAAAATTGTGGAGGCCTCGACGATGTTTGCGATAATTAGTCAGCAACAAAAGCGGTATTGTAATAATAAGTAAAGTAAGTAATAAGTAAATAACTATGTGAGTGAACCTACAGTGGAATAGCCAAAAATTTGAAAAGAGATGTTCGAGAAATCTGGAAGTGATGAGACTTGCGTACAAGGGTAAGTTTGTCTTTAATGACTTTATTTTCTGCTCTGCTAAAAAAAGAGTGGACTTATACGACTGAAACGCAGTAAATGAACAGCTATTGTTGGCCTCTCAATTATATTCAACAAATTTGCCTACCTTATCGATGATATCCACACTTTTATGAAAACAACTTCGAGTTGTGTTTGACATCGGTAGACTCACACTGTACTCTGTGAACATTACCGGTAATTCGCTGAAAGAGCAGATTACTTTTGTAGACTTTCCGCCGTTCGCTCTTTGCTCACCTAACAAAAGCGCAAATGCATATGTAGATAATGATATGTCTGGTTTTCTTTGGAGTGCAAAATCTGAATGTAGCTTATTTTATAATCTTAATTAGTAAGTGCATTCTAGGAGATAACGTCATAGGCGACGAACCTGACGACCAGTGACGGCAAACATACGTAAATATATCGCTGAATAGCTAAGTATACAGTTAGCCAAA